AAAGGCCCTGAATTCAACTGCAAGTACCAAAAAAGGAAGGGAGGTCTCTACAACAGAGAACCCAGAGGTCTGAGTGCAAGTTTTGGCTTCGCTAAATTGATCATTTTCTCCCTCTGACCTCAGCTTCCTCAACTGGGTAATGGGCATGGTTTTCCCACTTGCCTCCCAGGGGCAAAGGTAAAAATAAATTTGAAATATGAACAATAAAACATAGAAGAATGTTTTTGAATTAGCTAGGGCTGCCCAACTTCCCTGGTCGTAGTATTTGTGGCAGCCTATCTAGAAACCCCAACTGACCTTAGTACCAAGCACCATTGGAAACAACTTATACTATAGGTCAGGGATGTTCTCCTAACAAGGCCAAGTCTCTCAAAATGTTGCAGAAAGCTGGGTCTGCACTCCCACACCAGCCATGAATGTTAGCAGGTTGCCTCCTGGTAGTTTGTGGTCCTAAAACACATAGGTTTTGGACGGCTTTGGAGTAAGATGCCTCAGTGTCCCATATGAGCCTAGCCTTTATCAAAAGAGTCGAAATCCAAGGGTTATCTGGACCTACACAGACATAGTCCACACTCAGTTCTTTCTCATCTTTTCTGTTACAAAGGTAGTGATGAAAGAAGGCTCCAGGTTGGACCAAAGATTTACCAAGAGTCCTGACCCCAATATTTTTTTCTCTGTTAGAGATAACAGCAGAGATCTTAGGAGTTCCCCTAAGCCCATTACCCCGATTATCAGGAATAAAAATAAGGCTCATAGAAAAGAGAGGACTTCCAAAGGCTATGGCAAATGGATTTGTTAAAAGCAATGGATTATGATTATGTGATCAAATCTGGGCTCTGAGCTGTGTGTAGTTACTTAAACTTTTCTGAGCCTCGGTTTCCTCATCTGTAAGATAATAATAGTAATAATAACAGATAAAACCAGTCTTTTCAAATGAAAAGGCAATTTTGAGCCCAGTGCTTGACTCAGGGGCAAAACTCAGTGAATATTATTAGTGTGATGATAACAACATTCCAGGCCCTGGCTCTGCACTTGAGCAGCTGTGGAGTCTTGAGCAAGTTATATAAACTTTGTGTCTCATTTTCCTTAAAATCAGAAAAACAACAATAGGAGACTGATCTCTTGAGATTGTCAGGACTCATGTAAACAAAAACTGTGGAATGAGGTAGATGAGCAGTAAGTCTATCTAATGTTTGCCTATAATGACAGCAGCAACGTAGCAGTGACAGTGGAGGTAGCAGTGATAGCAATTGAGAGGGCAGAGACCAGTTTCTCTCTGTTCCAAGTGGCAGCTGTAGCCCAAATGACTGTGTTTACCCTCCTCCAGATTGCCTGGCTCCGGGAAGAATCAGATATCCCCCGAATCTGGTCCTCTGAGTACCCTCCATGCTCAGGCCTTTCTCCTCTGTTACAAAGGCAGACATAGAAGAAGGCTCCAGGTTGGACCAAAGGTGCTCCAAAAGTCTGGGCCTAAGGTTTTTCTCTGTGTTAAAGATAGCAGTAGAGTCTGTTCCATGGGATCACCTTCAAACATTCATTCAAGTCTATCAGCATCTAGTGAGCATCTATAAAGGGTCAGGGTCTGCCTTGGCTTTTCGGGTCCTATGAGTAAAAAAGAAAGAGCCCGTGCCTTCTCATAGGGAGAGATAGTGCACAACCATCAATGCTTGGATGGGGAAGAAGGTCAGCAGGCAGAGGAAGGGATTAGGAGTCAGGTAGGCAGAAGAAATAATGCTATGAGAAACTAAGGAGGCGCAGGATTTAGCCAATGAAAGGGAGAAATGGAGATTGGAAATGAGGTTTGCGATACAGTTACAGGCCTCTGGAGGTGAATAGGAACCTGAGCATGAAGGGTTTTCTATACAATGGCTCCTGCCACACTCAGATGCTAACGTTTAACACGCACAGCTCGTTAAAATATCAAGAATGGGTACATTACATCCGTGGGGCTCATTTGCATATATGGCTATGCAAATGCAGGGCTTCACCATTACTGAAATTCTAGCTGGTGAGCTAAGGTAACTTGAAGCTCTGTTGTTTGGACAGAGCCTGGGATCAAATAGAAGGTCTTATGGGGTAAGACCCCTTAACAGCCTACTCATGGGCCTTATTTTCCCTCAACCATTTCTGTTCAAGGCACCAGGGAGATGAAATAAGCAGTCTTCCTTAACTCCTGGAGCTCACAGCCTAGTGGCCAAGGGAATGCTGCAATATAGGGCTATAGTGTTATTCTTACGGTTAAGATCGGATCCGTGTGTACCCATACTGACTCTGCCTGTGAAGATACTCAAATACTTGCATGCCAGTTGGCAAACAGTTTCTATCACCAGCTCACTCCCCCGCCCCCCATCAACGCATTTATCCCTTTCTTTCCTTGACACTTTCTGGACCTCCTCACAATCCAGCCATTAAAATGTGACACTTAATCCCCTTCAACATCAAAACCAACATCTGTTCTAATGAGGCAATGCCCATACCCAAGCAAGTGTTGATAATTTTAATGTCATCTCTGGCAGTAATAAAAGCAAGTACAATGTACAAGGGAAGGGTCAGAAAATGTCTTGATGTCTGAGATGGTTTTATACATAAGAGAATATTTGATATGGGCTTTGGGGGATGGGTAGGAGTTCATTAGTTTGAGATGGCTGATGGCAGGAAGGAGACAGGAATACCACTGTGTGCCAGGCACTGTCACATACTTTCCACAGTTTTGCCCTCATGTGATACACATAACAGTTCTTTGAGAGAGATGCAACTATTATTACCATTTTGCAGATGAGAAAACTGAGGCTCTGAGAGGCAAAGTGATCCAGGAAGATAACTCAATTGAGAGGAAATGGGGCTGGTATGGATCAGGGCTTGTGCCTTGGAAACTTACTCTGATAACAAGAGTGGAAGGTGGGTGGGAGGAAGAGAAGGCTGAGGGCCAAGGCGTGGCCAAGCCTTTTCTCTATTGTGTGGGATTCTCTACCAAGTCCCCCGTCGCTGGAGAGTGGCTCTAGAAGGGGCCTGATCAGAGTGAAGCTAGACCCAAAAGAAGGGCAGGATTCTTTCTTTTTTCCCTCATGCTGTTAGCTTGGGCCAGTGGTGACGTCACAGTTCTTGTCGCCAAGCACCTGCACAGATAACAAGACAAAAAAAAAAAAAAAACAGAGAACACGGAACCCAGGA